GCTCTGCCCACCACGGGTATCGAAACCCGGTTTCTAGCGTTATAAGTCCGCAGACATACCGCTGTGCCACTAGGGGGCGTCATAGTAATGGATAAACAATTCAAACATTTAACATAACTTTTAACATCGTAATGGTTTTCGTTATAATTTGACATCCACAAATCTCGTTCATTATATACAGTGCCTTGCAAAAGAATTTACCCCCTCCCCCCTACAATAATGTCACATTTTTATGAAATACAAATAATCTAAGAATTTTTTAATGAAATTTTCTATTGGATTCAAGTCAGATCTTTGACTGGTCTACTCCAGGACATTCACTTTCTTCTTTTGAAACCACTCTTGTGTGGCTTTGAACTTGTGTTTTGGGTTAATTTAAGGCTGAAATGTGAATTATCGACCAAGTTTTAGATTCTTGGCTGTCTCAAGCAGGTTTTCCTCTAGGATTCGCCTGTACTTTGCACCATCCATCCTCCCTTCAATCCTGACAAACTTCCCAGTACCTGCTGATGAGAAGAATACCCATAACACGATGCTGCCACCACCATGCTTGACAGTTGGAATGATGTTGACTGGGTGACGTGCTGTGTTGGGCTTGCGCCAGACGAAAGGCTTTGAATTTAGATCACAAACCTCAATTTTTGTCTCGTCTGACCACAAAACCTTCTGCCAGTATCATTTACACGCTTTTCTTTAACTGGATGGTATGATTGATTTCACCGTACTCAAAGGGATAATCAGAGGCTTTGTAACCTTTTTCTGATCTGTATTTCTCTATCACTTTATCCTTGACTTATATGAAAAGCTCCTTAGTCTTCATGGTTGGTTTGTCGTATCACTACGTGAATTGTGGTCTATTTCAACCACTTTGATTACACACAGACAGAGATTTTTATGACCTTTCAAACTAATCTTTTGCACCTGAACAGATTTAGGATTGCCGTAGCAAAGGGGTTGAATACTTACGTAATTGAAAATATTATAATTTTCTTTTAAAATCTAGCTTACATAATATCAGCGTTTTTTAGCTTTCTCAGTTTGGAGTAGATTGTATAGATTCTATGTATGTCTGGATCATTTAAAATTTCATGTTTTTGTATTAAAGAGGAATAAGCCTCCCAGTGGCACAGCGGTATGTCTGCGGACTTACAACGGTAGAAACCGGGTTTCGATACCCGTGGTGGGCAGAGCACAGATTGCCCACTGTATAGCTTTGTGCATAATTAAATCACAATCACAAGAGGAATAAAATTCTTAATGCAGAATTTGACTAGTTTAAGTTGTTAAGTTTTATTAAGGCAAAATATAAAGGTTTACGAAATACAAATGATGTTCAAGGCGTCTGATGAACCAAAAAAATATCAAAGAACTTTTACTTTATTTCAATTGTTGAGAAACAATAACAATATATGCCACTTCGATGAGTTAGGTTTAAACTCATTAATTACAATAATTGTAGGTACAGTAAAATTGAATTCTTATAAAGATATATTCGTGTTGTAGATCAACTGTTAACATTTTAAGATTTGAAGCACATCTAACATACAGATAAAGAATAACTAAAACAATAGGTTATTCATATATTGGGTTATATATCTAAAAGTCACTTTTGTTATTTTTTTTCGCATATTATCAGTAATTTAAGAAGTTATAATAATAATAATAGTTGTATAATTTCAGTTGCTTTATTGTTATAAATCCTTTAGGAAATTTAAACAGTCCTTTCAATTCCAGTTATGAATTAATCACATTTGGAGTACAATGTCCTCCACTTTGAAATTAGCATCATATTGGTGATGCTTGCGGTGATGTTCCTCGTCATCCTCATGAAAACAGTCACAATCGTAACCGTCCTCAAAGTCATCACAATCTGCTGGAATTTCAAACTCCATCACAAAAATGTTGGGGTAGTTTGAACAGATCTCTTCAAACCTCTCTGGAGCAGAAGAAGTGATCTCATCCTCGCAGATGAATGGTTGTAAGGAATTCACTGACTGTTTGGCTGAACTAGAAAGGGGAAATCCCCAAAATTCAAACAGAGGAGCGAGATCATAGTTCACTGACTTGGAAAACCTGGTGTACCAAAGGTCAATCTTGGCTTCATTTGTGGTCGGTTTGAGGCCAGTGTTTTCTTCATACTCTCGAAAGACTTTCTTGTAAGACTCCCATTCGAAACAATGTGCAAGTTGAGCGTAAATTCCCAAAGCCACACCAGCTTTCTTCTTCCAAGTATCGAAGTCAGCGCCGGCAAGCAAGTAGTTGCGGATAGCGGGAAGTTGATTTCTGAGCCACTTGTGAATCCACACAGGAATGTTACAGATAACGTCCATTGCATACAATGTGAAAATGTTACATGTTACTTCTCCCGTTCCTTGGAAAGTCCACAAACCCCTCTGCATGTTATGGCCGAACTCGTGGAAAAGACCCCAACTTCCGTTTGATCTTAGGTATTTTGTGTTTAATACGAAATTATTCCTGTTAGGATCTGAAATATCCATTTGTGTAACCACTGGATAACCTGCGTGCATATAACCTGCTGAGGGTTGTCTGTCAGGAACCACCCATTGACGGCGATGAAGATTAATGTCTGTTCCACGAAGATAATGATAAGCCCTTATCACCTGGTCCCAGAACGTTAAGGCCTCAGTAGGATGGTCAAAATTTCTAATGGAAGACGATGGTAGAGATATAATCACATGTTCTCCCACAAGGTCTGCCCAAAGGCCTGGAGACAGCTTTCGGTTTTTCCAATGTGAAGGTGCTTCTGGATCTTTGATGTCGAAATATGGAGCTTCTACAACAGACTCTAGCTCAACATGTAGGTTTTTCGTCTCTGATGGACTTTCAAAATATATCGAGCCTCCATATGGACTTGAAATTGTTGTTTCTCCTGCAGATAGTGGTCTTCTCACCATAATTGATGGCCATCTTTTCCAACCCTTAGTAACGTTTTTCAGATTGTCACTATGACATCCAATACGTATATTCCAACCTTTTACGTCAGTTTCTTTCACAGTCATCTTCATTTTCTGCCCAGCGGGTAGGTAGTAACCAGTAGGGTGGATCTCCTTCAAAGTGGAAGTCAAAGAAATCGTGGCCTTTGTTAAGAAAGGAGGTGATTCAAAATCTCCTGGAAAGTCCTCGATTCCTGGAGCCTTGCCACCATTCCATCTTAGAAGTATGTCATAGAGCAGCAGCATACTTTTAGAAGACTCTGACAATATAGGAGTCTTGGCAGTAGGAAGAGAACTTCCTCTGATGTGCTCTTCACATTTGTCAAAAAAGTCTTGAAAAATACTCTGGGTGTCTAGCACGTCTTCAGGTAAAGCAGATATCATTTTTGCAATTTTTGCTGCAACTTCTTGAAGCTTGTCCCGACTTTCTTCAGCATCTTTCATTAGTCTACCTAGATGTGCTCTTTCTACTGGATTACCTAACACTTCAATCTCGGTTTGGCTTGAAAATGACCTTCCCGTATAACACAGGCCAACGTTCTTAAAGAAGTTATAGTGTGGCATGGTCTGTATAGAGCCTTTTTGAATCTGAAGATAACCCCAGGGGGTTTCTGCAATTACCAATGCTCCTCCTGATGTGACAAAAGTTTCAAGCTTTTGAAAAAATTCTTTGTTTTCTGCCTTTCCAGAAGCCCAGACGACAGCGATAGTCTCGCCCACTTTCAATTGAGTGTAATCTGTCGTTCCACGCAGCCTTACAGTCTTCACGTTTTGAGTATTGACACCTTTGAAAAGCCACTTG